GAACCTCGTCCATTCCCTTAAGGATGAGTGCCACCTGAAAAGTCAGAGTCGCGAGAGGGGAGCGACATGGCTGATCGAGTTCGTCGGATCGCAGGGAGGAGTCGGACAGGCCAGCAGGAGCCTGACCTCAGAACGGACGCTCGAGCCGACCCCTCGGCAGCGTCGAAGCTCGAAGCGCCAGGGGCGCACGTTTCGACCTTGAGCCAAGTGGCTTGAGCCACAATGGCTACGGATGACGATGGTGATGATGCTGATGGTGCTGATGGTGACGATGATGGTCATCACCATCATCATCATCATCATCATCATCATCATCATCATCATCATAATCATCATCACAACCATCATCATCATCATCATCATCATCATCAGCATCATCATCATCATCATCATCATCATCATCATCATCATCATCATCATCATCATCATCATCATCATCATCATCATCATCGTCGTCATCGTCATCATCATCACCACCAACATCTCCATCCTCGTCGTCGCCATCGCCATCGTGGCAATGATGCTATCACCATCACCATGCCACAATCATGACCATCACCGCCATCCCCATCAACGTCCTGACCATGATACGCATCGCCATCACCTCCACCATCATAATTCATTGTCGTAGCCATGGTGCCATCATCAGGGTCATAATCAGAATCAGCATCATCATCATCATCATCACCACAACCACCAGCACCACCACCACCCGCACCACCACCACCATAACCACCACTACCACCACCACCACCACCACCACCATCATCATCATCATCATCATCATCATCATCATCATCATCATCATCATCATCACCACCATCATCGTCATCTTCATCCTCATCATCATCAGCATCACCCTCAGCACTATCCTGTTCATGACCACCACCACCACCATCGTCATCATCATCATCGCTCATCATCACCATCATCATCAACATCATCTTCATCATCATCATCATCATCATCATCATCATCGTCGTGGTCGTCATCATCATCGTTCAGTATCATCATTAGCAGTGTCATCATCATAATCAGCATCATCACCACCACCATCAGAAGCATAATCAGCATAATCAGCATCATCAGCATCATATGTCGTCATCAGCATCATCAGAATCATCCTCCTCATCATCTTCATCATCATCGTCATCGTCATCGTCATCATCATGATCAGAATCACCATCATCATCAGCATCATCAGCATCATCATCAGAATCGTCATCATCATCAGCAACATCGTCATCGTCATCGTCATCGTCATCATCATCGCCATCATCATCATCGTCATCATCATCATCATCATCATCATCATCATCATCATCATCATCATCATCATCATGATCATCATCATCATCACCATCATCATCATCATCAGCAGCATCATCAGCATCATCATCAGAATCGTCATCATCAGCAACATCGTCATCGTCATCGTCATCACCATCATCATCGTCAGCATCATCACCGTCACCATCACAATCGTTATGACTATCACCATCACCAACACCACCACCAAAGTACGCATCATCAAAATTAACTATTCATTAAATCGTCATGGTGGCCATTATCATAATCGTGGTCGTCGTGCCGTCGGCAAATGTTCCCGGAGAGGCCCGTGGGAACATCAGGCCGGCTGCTGCGGGGGAGCTTGGACGGGACGTCGGAAATGATAAATGTGATTCCTTCCGGGGACCTCTTGGGCTTGGGAGCCATCCGGAACTGCCTGGGGCCATCTTGGAACCATCCGGAACTGCCTGGGGCCGTCTGGAGGCCGTCTGGGGCCGTCTTGGCGGTGTCGAGGGCCGTCTCGAATCCATGCGTGGACGTCTCTGAACCATCTTGAAGCGTTTGGGAGCCAGTCTTGAACCACCCTGAGGTCTATGAGGCCTCTCGGGAGCGAGAAGGCGAGACCTTCAGTAACCGATGGTTTCCTTCGAATTTTGTTCAATGGTGTTGGCCTCCTGGGAGCATCTTGGAAGCTTTGTGGGGGCCTCCAGGAGACGTTTGGGGGGCCATCCTGAGCTGCCCGAGGCCGTCTGGGGGCCAGCTGGGACCGCCTTGGCAGGCTCGAGGGCCGCCTCCAAGCCCTCTCCGGCCGCCTCGGAGCCAGCTGGAAGGGCCTCGGCGGCCGCAGGCGACCGTCTTGGACCGCTTCGGGGCTCCTCGCGGGCCATGCTTGGACCATTCTGAGGCCTGAGAAGCCCCTCGGAAACGACATGCGAATCCTCGAAAAACTACGCGGGCCCCGTAGTTTGGTAGTGATTCCCGCTTCCCCCGAGGCCTCTCCGAAGCTTCTCGAGAGCCCCTTTGGGAGCGGTTTGGGGCCGCCTGCGGGCCGTCTCAATCTGTCTGGGGCTGCCTGGAGGCTACCTGGGACAGTGTTGGTCGAGGGCCGTCGCGAAGCCATCTGCGGCCGTCTCGCAACGGTCGTGAGTCTTGGGGGCCCCAGTCGACTGTCCTGGGCCTTCCTGGGACTCCTCGACGGCCGTTGTTGGACCAGCCTGAGGCCTCAAAGGCTCAACGGAGGCGATGACGCGAGTTCTTGAAAACATCTCCCTCAAGTGTTTTACACATCTTGCCCTCCTGGGGGCCTCATTGGAAGCTTCTTGGCGGCCTCTTGAGGCCATCTCGAGCTGCCTGGACCCGTCTGGAGGCTGATTCCCTGGGACAGCCTTGGCGGGCGGACTCGAGGGCAGCCTCGAAACCATCTTCGGCCGCCTCAGAGCAATCTCGATAGGTTTTCACGGCCGCAGTCGCACGTCTTGCGCCGCTTTGGGACTCCTCGTGGGCAATGCCTGGACCCTCCTGAGGCCTGAGAGGCTCCTCGAAAGCGAAGCGGCCAGTTCTGGAAAAACTATGGCTTCCCGTGGTTTGATGATGCTTCTCCGTCTCCCCGAGGCCCGCTCGGAAGCTTCTTGGGCGCATCTTGGGAGCCTTTGTGGACCGTCTGGGGGCCATCTCAATCTGTCTGGGGCTGCCTGGAGGCCACCCGGGGCCGTGTTGGCGGTCTCGAGGGCCGTCTCGAGACCATCTTCGGCCGTCTCGCAGCCGTCTTGAAGGGTCTGTGGGGCGGCTCCAGTCCACCGTCTTGGGCCTTCCCGGGGCTCCTCGACGGCAGCTGTTGGACCATCCTGAGGTCCCGAAAGCTCCTCGAAAGCGAAGAATAGAGATCTTGAAAAACATGCATTGTCCCAAGGTTTTGACAGATTTGGGCCCCCTGGGGACCTCGGGGACGGCGTCCGGAACTCGCAGGACAGGGCGCGAGTCGGGCCTTCTGGGGCCCATTGGAAGCGTTTCGGGCCTCGGGGGGACGTCGCTGGCGCCTTTGTGGGGGTTTCCCCAGGGCCACCTCTCGGCGTCGCCGCCCACGAGCCTCTCCCTTGGGGCCTCTGAAGAGCCTCTTGGGCTTCATTGGCGGGCCTCTGGGGCTGTCTGGGGAGTCCTCTTGGGGTCGTCTGGGGATGTCTTGGGTGGTTCGGGTGACGTCGTGGGGCTCCCCAGAGCGCCTCCTGCGCCGCCGTAGCCGCAGTGGTGAGCCCCAACGCGTGGCTGGTGAAAATGTGTGTTTCCGCTGGGAATTCTCCAATTTGGGCCCCCCGACGTCGTCTCCTGAGCATCTCCAGAGGCGTGTTGGGAGCCTGCAGAGCCTTCCATGATTATGGGGCGTCTTGGAACACTCTGTGGACGTCTTGGACGTTCCTTGCGTGGTCTGGACGGCCTCGGGGCCTCTCTTGGCACGCTCCGGGCCTCCTCCGTGAAGCCTCCCACGCTCTGGGGAGGCCTTCGGGGTTCTGCTGGGGCAGTCTTGGAGGTTCTGTGGGCCGTCGGGGGGATCCCTGGAGCGCCTCGTGCGCAGTCGTAGATGCAGTGGAAAGCCCGAATGCGCGATCGCTGAAAACGTATGTCCGTCGTAGGGAATTACCCAATTTGGGTCTCCCGACGTCAGGGGAGGCTCCGGATGCGTCTCGGAAGCCTCCAGGCCCTACTTGAGGTCCACACGGGGCCTCCGTTTTTTTGGATCTAGACTCCAAGGTGGGACACGCAACGCGCATGTCCCCAAGACAAGCCCGAAGAGCGCCCTGTGGGGGTGTTCAACGTCCCCTGGGTGTTCTGGACGGCCTCAAGACCCCACTAGGCACGCTTCGGGCCTCTTCTGGGAGGCCGCCCAGGCCATCTGGGGAGCCCTCTTGGGCTCGTCGTGGACCGTCGTGGGGGGTTCGCGGGCCGTCTGTGGCCTCGCTGGAGCGCCTCGGGCGCCGCCGTAGACGCAGAAGCGCGCGGTTGTCGAAACTGTGTTTCCCTGGGGAGTCGCCCAGTTGTGGCCTCCCGACAGCTTCTCGGGGAGCGTCTGGGGAACTTCCGGGGGCATCGAGGGAGCCTCCAGGCCCTCCCCGCCCCGAGAGCCCCGACTCGCCCAGGAGTCGCCGGGAAGTAACCCCCAACCGCCCTTGATCGCCTCAAGATGGCCCAGCACGGTCCCGAGGCGCTCCTCGCAGGCTTCCCGACGGCCCTCAACGTCCCCCAGAGGCTCCAAGAGGGCTCCACGACGCCCCCCCAGAAGGGCCTGAAGACACAAAGTCAATCGGTTTCCCGTTGGTTTTTGGTTGTTTCTGTTGGATTCCGCCTTTTCGGCCTGCGGACGCTCCACAACAGCCCCAGAAGGACCAGAGTTCGCCCCAAGACGAGAGTCCCCTCCAGGGCGCCACACTGCCCAAGAGGCCCCAAAGACGCCACAAGAGACTTCCAGAACAGTCCCAGAAAGGCACCGAATCGCTGAAACATCACCGCCAGACGCTCATCACGCCCTCCAGGTGGCCCCACCACTGACGACGACGACGACGACGACGACGACGACGACGACGACGACGACGACGACGATGCGCGAAAGAAGCCAAGTCGGGCGGGCGAGCGGGACATGGGATGCAACTGGCACTCGGTGATGGGACGGAGTCGAGGATCGGCAGGAGTGTCTCAGGGCGTCTGGGGGAGAGATTTGGGGGGCCTCTTAGGGGACTCCTGAGGCTTCCTGGGAGCCTCTTGCGGATTTGTTGTCACGCTCTCCAAAACAAAAAGCATCATGTACTGTGTAGATACGGCTGGATCTTCTGTACGCGACTAAGCCGCCCTTTCAAGAAAGTGCTCATCAAGGCTGATCGACTTGCTGCCTGGCTCGCGCAAGAAATGAACCCAGCGGGCAATGTTGCTCGAGGCTGTACCAATGAAAGTGTGCGAGCGTCGCAAGGCTTCAACATCTGTAAGTACATCATACACGTACTGGGATCCAGGATAATACAACATATCGGCGTTGCCATTCCAATCAGTCGTTGCCTGTTTCAAAGCTTTGATCTCATATTCCGGCCCAAGAGCATCACGCAGAGTGGTTTCTGCGTCTTTATCTATGGTGGCAAGCCAAACAGTCCTAATATCACTGTTGTTCTTCATTGCAAGGATGTGTTGAGCAGCACTTCTTGCGCGTGTCACCGCCGACGACACGCTCATGATCTTCAGGTCATTGACAACAGCTGCGTAATCTTCTGTCTTAATTGCGTCCGCCTCGAAAATGTTTTTGTCTCCGTGGCGAATTTGCACTCCAATGTACTTCTCGGGCAGGCCATAACTCTTCAAAACGCTGTCAATGTGTTGAATCGCTTCTGGCTTGTACTTGTAATGAGCCTTATATATGGCACGCTTGCCCTCCTCGACGTACTTTTCGTCTGCCTTTGATAGCGCTACGACAAGCTCGCGCTCTGTGCGCGAAAGCAGATTTTGGTAATCAATATTCCACTTTTTGGGAGAAGTGCACACCGGGATTGGATTCTCAAAGAAGCTGTTCCAAGTCGTCAAAAACTTTTCATAGTGCGCCGTGCCTACCAGCGCCACGGAGAAGTTCCCGTACGCCGCGACGGCAAGCTGATTCATATAATTGTTCACTTTGGATCCAAACCCGCACCTGCTGTGCTCAACATTAAACCCAACAAACATATCTGGATTGCAGACGTTTTCAGCAGATGGCGGCGAATCTGGAAGCCTGCCAGGCTTCCCAGGGAAGCCTTTCTTTTCATTTTCAAGCCACGCGTAATTGTAAGAGTGCCGCGGATTCTGCGATGAGTCTACATGGAGAGCGCGGGAGTAAAAGAACAAGCCGCAAACGAATAATATGATCACCGTCTGCGACATGTACTGTGTAACTCAAAGTAGTGGCCAGTGAATCAACGGAGTACACACTTCTTGCTGGAATGCGCACTCGGTCCACAAGAACTTGAGGCAAAATGGCTACGGAGGGGGCCTCTTGCGGACTTCTTGAGGCCTTTGGGGAGCCTCTTGGGAGCCGCCTGGGACATCTTGGGGGCCTCAAGGGGCGGAGAGCTCGAAATGTCGGTTCGTGTTCCCCTGCTGGGGTCTCTCTTGGGCTGCCTTGGAAGCCTCTTGGGCGGTCTGGGAGCCTCTTGAGCAACTCGGCGCCCTTGGGGGCCACTGAGGCCGCGATGGGGCGATATTTTTGGGGCCTCCGGGACCGTCTAGGAGCGTCGGAAAGCCGAAAGGGCAGAAACGCGAGAATCCATCAAAAACCTCAGGAAAATCAATAATGTTTGCCTCTTGGGGCCCTTTTGGGGGTGCGGTCAGAGGTTGGAAGCCTTTGAGGCCGTCTGGAGACCATCTTGGAAAAGTTTGACCTCTTGGAGGCCTCTTGGGGCCTCTTGGGGCCTCTTGGGGCCTCTCGGAGGCCTCTTGGAGGCCTCTTGGGGCCCTTGCCATGTGCTTTGGGGCTGTCTTGGGCCGTCTGGGGGCGTCCCTGGCGGCCTGGTCCCCGCATGCGCTGTCGAGGGCCCCCTCCCGGCCCCCCCGCCTCGTGCCCAGGGATGAAATGTATATATATATATATTATATATATATATATATATTTGTTTCTCTCTCTCTCTCTCTCTTCTCTCTCTCTCTCTCTCTCTCTCTCTCTCTCTCTCTCCTCTCTCTCCCTCTGTATATATTATATATATATATATATATATATATATATAGATAGATAGATATATAGATTATGTGTATATCTCTCTATGTCTCTCTCTCTCTCTCTGCCTTTTTTTCTCTCTCTCTCTCTCTCTCTCTCTCTCTCTCTCTCTCTCTCTCTCTCTCTCTCTCTCTCTCTCTCTCTCTCTCTCTCTCTCTCTCTATATATATATATATATATATATACAAATGTATATATATGCATGTGCATGTATGAGTATACAGAAATGCATACATGCATATACCTACCGACCTACCTACCTACATACAGACATACATACAGGCCAATATATACACATCTACATGCATGCAGACATACATACACGCATACACAAATTACATTACAGTACACTGCATTGCATTACACTACATTACAATACGTTGCATGGCATTACACTACAATAAATTATACTACGTGACACTAAGTAGACTACAATGCAATACCATACAACACACTACAAAACAATACAATACAATACGATACAATACAATGCAATACAATACAATACAATACAATACACGACAAGACAAGACAATACAACACATGAAGTACATGCATACCTGCATACGTACATACATACATCTATACAGCCCGCCGCCCCCCTGTGGGTCTCTAGGCGTGTGAGATCCTTCCCCCCCCCCATAACCCACCCCCTGGGGACCCCAAACTGGCAATTCGAGTCCCCCCCGGGCCCCGGACGGCCCAGCCCCGAACTCGTCGGTGGCGGCCCGGGCTCCGCAGGCTCGGCCTGGAGCTCCTAGACACCCCGTCGAGCCTCCCAAGACGCCCCCGAGAAGTCGGTCCAAGAGAGCCCGGACTCGCCGAGCGAACGATCCGAGATGCCCAAGAAGCCGCGAAGACACCCCACGAGGCCTCCGAGAGGTCCCCCAGGAAGCACAAAAGAAGCCAAGATCGTCAAATTCCACTGGGGAAACACACGTGTCTAGCGTATACGACTCTTCGGCACCCAAAATCGCCACACGACGGCCCAAAACCCTCCCACGAATCCCCCAAGACAGCCCCAGAGGGCTGCAAACGGCCCCAGAGGCGCCCAAGACGGCCCAAAAGTGCCCCCAGCATGCCCCAGACAAGGCCCCAGAGGGGAACCTCGAACCGAAACTATAGATTTTCCGCTCGAAGAGACCCCCACGAAGCCCGAAGAGGCCCCCGAGAGGGCCCAAGAGGCCTCCCAAAAGCCTTCCCAGGCCCCCAAGAGGCCCAAAAGAGGTCCCAAAACGGCCCCTGATCCATCCTTCACCATCAACCCCCCTTCCCCCATCCCCACCTCCCCTATGTTCACCGTCCCTCAGATTCAAGCGTTGCAGGTGTTTCGCGCCACGGGCGTTTTCACCTGGCTTCGGCCCCCGGGACCATGACAGATCGATCAGGCTCGAAACGTGCGAGGGTCTGGAGCTCTGGCTGTGTGTTTCTTCCCGATGGCGCAAGTATTGTCCCAACGTTCAGTCTCAGGGATCATCCATCCTCCTGATCGTCTCCGAGTGGAGGCGTTTCACGTGCCAGCAGCACGCCAGCCACGCCATGGGGCCCGGCCAGGGTGCCTGTGGATCCCGCGGCTGCCTTCGCTTAGCGTTAGGTTCTCGAGGGCAGCAGCGCCTCGAGGGCGAGTGCGGCGGGTTCGTGTCGTGTCGCCATTTGCGTCGGTTCCTGGTTCCGCGTGGGTCGCTCGCCCTTGAGCAACCCACCGTCTTGTCACGAACTGGTCCTCCTCCTCCTCCTCCTCCTCCTCCTCCTCCTCCTCCTCCTCCTCCTCCCCTCCTCCTCCTCCTCCTCCTCCAACTCCTCCTCTTCCCCTCCTCCTCCTCCTCCTCCTCCTCCTCTTCCTTTTCCTCCTCCTCCTCCTCCTCCTCCTCCTCCTCCTCCTCCCCCTCCTCCTCCCCCCCTCCTCGCCTAGCACCTTTCGCGCCGACCTTGCAGTTATCGCCAACGCACAAAGGGGGGCGATGGGGCTACGGGGAGGCGAAGGGGCATCGCACGCCAGAGAGCCCTCAAGCTCCAAGACAATCCAAAAAAGGGCCCCAAAAAGCTTCCACGTGGGCCCCCAAACCTCAGATCGGGGATGGACAGAGCCCCCAATGGACAGCGTGGTTGCGTGAAAACGGCCTCGGGCCCAAACGTGGCGGACGCAGGCCTGGAAAATGGCGGCCGCAACGCCCTCCGAGATGTGCCCCCTGCCGCGGGAACTCCTTCTCGAAGCAGCCCCTCACTCCTATCCGCATTTGCAGGGGCTACGGGAATTATCAAGCGTCGCGGCTCCCGAACACGACCCCGAAACCACGATTTCTCAAAAAAAACAATAATGATGAAACAACATACCGCCGCCGTGAAGGCGTCCACCACAGCCGGCGATAAAAGCTAAACAAAAACAATGGGTCGGCGGATGTTGTGTAAGCCTAAATAATCATACATATGTACATACATACATACATACATACATACATACATACATACATACATACATACATACATACATACATGCATACATACATACGTGCGTACATACATACATACATACATGCGTGCATGCATGCATACATGCATGCATGCATGCATGCATACGTGAATACATACATGGGTATATGCATACATACATGCATAGACACAAACAAACATACATATATGCATACATACATACATACATACATACATACATACATACATACATACATACATACATACATACATATATGCATATATGCATACACACATACAGACATACACACACGTGCACACACATGCACACATGCATACATACACATACATACACAATCACACACATGCATACACATACATACATACACATCTACTCACATACATACATACATATATACATACATACATGCATACATACATACATACATGCATGCATGCATGCATGCATGCATGCATATATGCATACATGCATACATGCATACATACATGCATACATGCATACATGCATACATGCATACATGCATGCATGCATACATGCATACATGCATACATGCATACATACATACATACATGACAGAGATACATACATACATGGCAGACACACAGACAGACAGACAGACAGACAGACAAATGCATGCGTACCCACATACGTTAATGCGTACGCACATGTATACAGACACGTGCCTACGAATACATGCATGCATGCATACATACATACGTGCATGCATGTATGCATGCATGTATGCATGCATGCATGCATGCATGCATGCATGCATGCATGCAAACACACAGACAGACAGACAGACAGACAAATATACTCACGCAACCCTGAGGCACGGCATGGAGAAGATCAAGAACCCAATCGCATGCATGTTGTCCCTCTACAAACATAGACTGAACTTACGCGTGGGCGCCTCGAGCGCTCTTGGGTTCTAGTCGAGCGTATTTGCAGTGAACGTTTCATGCAGAATTTCAGCGACACTCAGACTTGTAGAGGCCCGCACAACGATAACTCACAGTGTTGAAGAAAGCCATTGACTGTGTGTTCAGGGTTGCTTCCACAGAGCTAAGTGACGTTCGAGAAATATCCGCGAATCACAAGTTGGGCTGTCTTGGACTACTGGGCCCGCTGCGACTGCAAACTGGGACGTCGACAGGCCCTCTCGAGAGTATCGTAAAGTCCCGTGGGCTTCTCCTGTGCTCCTCTTGCCACCGCCCTGGGTGCCTCCGAGGCCGCCTCCTGGCATGCTCCCGGGGGCCCCCGAGGGGGCCTCGGGGAAGAGGCCCCCCTCGGAGGCCGCAGGGAGGACGGCGCTCCGCCGGGAGAGAGGCCCGTCCGCGAGGACAAAAAAAACAGTACTTAGAGGAAAAAGATAAAGGGGCCCTGGGACACACAAATAAATACACACAAATAAAAATATTCCCCATATTTTTCCATATTTTCTGGGTTTTTGTCTTCCCCACCACTTCCCATATTTTCGCATATTTTCCTGGGAATCGACGATTAATTGTGTCTGTGTGTTTCTTCCCCTCCTGAAAAGAACTATGCACATGCACCGATTCTGGCCAGGCCCATCCTGAGCCCAGGATCGGTGCATACGCCCTCCTACCTTGGCCAGGAAGGCATATGCACCGATCCTGGGTCAAAGATGGGCCCTGCCAGGATCGGTGCATGTGCACAATTCTCTTCGCCCGAGTATTTGATCCGCGGGTCGAGAGCGCACCTCTTCCGGTCGAAGCTAAACGGGCCGCGCGAAGCATGAATTAGGCAGAGAAGGGGGGGAGGAAGCGGCGGAGAGGCCAACAAACAGCTGGCGGGGAAAAATAAGAGATGCGTGTGTTTCCACAGGACCTCTCACAGCGCTGGGGCGCTCACGTCGAATCACCCTGCAGAGTGCTGATGGGGAATGGGGGAAGAAGGCAGGCAGGGAAGAAAGGAGGAGGAGGAAGAGGAAGAGCAGGAGAAGCGGGAGGAGCGCGAGGCAGAGGAAGGGGAGTAAAATGAGCAAGAGGGGAAGAAATAAAAGAAGGAGGAGGACGAGGACAAAGAGCTATTTCGAAAAACCTAGCCTGATAAAAGCCTGAAATGATGAGGACGGGGACAAAGAACTACTTCGAAAAACCTAGCCTGAAAAGACCTAGCCTTGGAGCGTCATTCGGAAGCCGAATGACGCTAGCCTGAAAAAAGCCTCGCGGCAAGTCCTCAGCAGCAGCAACAGCAGGACCAGCCGGGCACGGCCCCGACTGCAGGTGCCCAGTAGGGAAGGCCCGTGCACATGGTGCTGCTGGTTGACAGCCCAACGGAATGGACTCGGAGCCAACTGGGAGACATAGCTCCGGCTCGCGTCCTCCTAATCTCCTCCGGGGGCCAGCTCGCCAGGGGTAGAGTGGACTCGAAGTCAACAGAGAGACATACTGCTCACAATGCCCCCTCCCAGTCTCAGTCCCCCTGCCCGCCTCCCTGTCACTGGCTGGCCAGGGAGGGGTCAGCCCGTCACTGGAGGTCCCAAACGTCGCTACGTTCTGCTGATCAGGCTTCTTGAGACCCCCTCCGAGGCACTCTCTTCCACGAGTTGACCAGGGCAGAAGGAATGTATATGGATGTATAGAGCGGCGGCATACTATGCCAAAGAGGACGATCTGCTTCCTTGCAGAGGCTTCTTTCGTGCGCGAGGGTTTCCCCGCCCTGGAGAGCAGCGCAAACCGATGCAATACAAAGACAGGGCAGCGCAAATGCAAAGCGACAATGCGGAACGATGACGTAACGCAAAACAACGCAACGTAACGCAGTGCACCGGAATACACAGCAACATAAAGTAAAGCCATACAGTGCGAGCTACGGCAATGCAAACTGTTCAAAGGAAAGCACGGAAATTCGAACCTACTCAACGCCAAGTAGCTCAAAGCACATCAGTGCGAAACAGCACAGAAAAAACAAAACAAAACAATTGCAATGCGCTATACCGTTCAGCAGCACACTGACCGTTTTGCACATAGCAAAGCAACTCATCGCCGAATCATATGACATCTTGCTCCCTTGGCGTGCAGCGTCGGTTGGCCTGGCGCATCGAACGACAACTCTCAACTGACGTCGCACCAGGTCCGTCCTTATCGATCGCGGTTGATGGTGCGCAATACCACCTCGATCGAGATTTGTAGTGCGCAATTTCCCCTAATAACAACCGAGCCAGAGCAATGGGCAGGATGCTGATCCTCTGGAGGATGCCAGCTACACGCCCAAGTGCACCGATCCTGCGCCCAGGATCGGTTTCACACGCCTTCCTGGCCAGGGCAAGCCAGGATCGGTGCAGATACACTCTTGGCGTCCTCCGACTCCTGGAGTAAAGGCACTAGCTCCCCCGCCTGATCTCTGACTCGGGGGCGGCCAAGAGGGGGGCGTCCAAATAGGGGGAGGGTGGGGGGCGCAAATCATGGCTGGCGGCATGTGCGCGGCCCAGGGGAGGTGGGGGGGCGGGGACGCATTGAAATAAGAATAGGCGCCATGAAATCTGGGAGGGATATCATGGCCCCCGCCATGAGATTCATCCCCCCCCTCTAGTCATCACCCCACTTTTTGCCGCCCCCGAAAATCTAAAGGCACTGGCCCCCACGCCTGATCCCTGACCCGCCCTTTGAGCAGGGACCGACCGTCCCGACGTTCCTATAGGCCTACCACGAAATGTTCGTAGAACCCAACAATGTTCTAAGAACAAAAACAATGTTCTTAGAACAACAAAAACCCGATGCATCAAAACAAGACAGTCCCAGCCAGGAATGTTCTACAAAAAATTCGTGGAGCGGCAAAAGGTTCTTAGAACATTGTTGGGTAGGCCTATCGGCGAGCTAGGACGTTTCGCCACTGCTTGAGCCCTCGGCCAGGCCAGGCGGCGCAGCTATGGCGCCTGATCCCGGCACGGGGCCGACCGCAGCCAGCTCGCTGCCACCGCTCCTGGCGGGCTTGAAGGACCCCAGGGCGACATCGGCCACCTGGGCGGCCCGCCGGGGCATGCGGGCGAGGCCCGCCGGCTGTCGGGGGCGACGACAAGGGCGAACGGGTCGGATGCATGTATCCAGAGGCGCCCACAATCCACATGTCTTCGGGGAGGCCCCCGGGAGAATACGTGTGATGCCCGCCCCTCGGCTATTCGCCCCCGTCGTCGCTTCCGATTTGTACGCCCGAAATGGGTACGGAAAAAATGTGGTGCACTGCGCAACGACACGTGTGTTCCCACACCAGCAGCGGCCGCTGGTGAGCAGGCGGCTTCCTGTCTCGAGCGGACACAGTCCGCGGCGACACTGACAGCGAGTCCTGCTCAAAAAGAACAGGAACTGCTGACGGTTTTTGTACGCATTCTCTCCGCATCCATTTTGATCGTCCCTATCCGAGGCGTGCCAGAAGCTAACTAGGCATCCCCTGGCGCGCGATGGCAAACTCCAAGCGGCCCCCACGCGCTCCGGAACACTTCCACACACACACACACACACACACACACACACCTGTTCTCGAAGAGTCCCCGCTCTGCGCCAGTGTGCCACACCTCGCGCACCCCGTGCTCTGGGCAAGGGCTCGGGGGAGGCCGAAAGGAGCTCCGAGGAAGACGCGACGGACTCGGCCTCGCGCCACACCAGGCCGTCCCGTCCTCTCCGCTCCCGTGCCCGCCCCGTGCTCCCGTGCCCACTCGCCCCTCTGCCCGAGGCTCCGGGACCGCTGCCGCGCCACGCGGCGGGCGGACCCCGCGCGGGTCGCGGCGCGCGGTGCCGGCCCACCGCCGTGGCTCGGGCGGGTCGCGGGCCGATGGCGCCCGCGGAGCGGACCAGAGCACGGACTGCCAGGAGGGCGGGGGGAGCCGGCGGGGTTGGACGGCACGGGGCCGTGAGGGTGGGAGCCGCGCGAGTCGTGGCCTCCACCTGGGCGCTCGCGCAGGGCGGCGAGAGCTGCACAAGTGTCCACTCCCCGGGGCCTGGCCCGCCCCGGGGCCCGGAGCGGCGTGGGCGCCCTGCTGCCCTGGCCAGGGAGGCATACTTTTGGGTTGCCAGCCGCAGGCGAGCGCGCCGACGGCGTGTCAAGGTCCGAGCGGGCCGCGCGAGGTCCTAATTTACCCAGCACAAGCAGGCCTACCGCCGCAACTCAGGTCGGGACCAGGAGGTAGACGAGGGAGGGGGCAGAGCTGCAAAACTGCCAGGGGCTAAACCAGGGAGGCACACACGCAGCTCGTGGGTTCAGGCTGTGGCCGGCCGAGGAGCAGCGGATGTGTGTACCGGTGCCGGCGCCGGGGCGCTCGCAGGGAGCGGGCGCGGCGGGTTTGGGCGGAGGAGCGGCTCGCGCCGCGGAGCGGAGGGGACGGGCGGAGGTCGTCGAGGCCGTGGCGAACCCTTCGCCCCACGCCGCGGGGAGCCGTCGCCCCGCACGAGGCCGCGGGCCGTCTGGCCGCGGGACGGCTGGCTGGATGCGCAGCGGACAGCAGTCTGCAGATCGCAGACTCAAGAGCGGGGTGTGGTCAACCATGCGCCGCGAAGAAGGTTTACTCTGGCGATCGCCGCTGCCTCGAACGAACCCTGGCTATAGTGGGCCAACTCGCTCCAGGTAGCTGCATGCTCCCTGAGAGGTAGCTGCTAAGAGGGCAAATATGAGTCAGAGTGCTATCTGGCAGCTGCGAGGTTGTGACTGTACAGCTCTAAGGCAGAGTTGGGAAGGCCATGAGAAGGTCACGAGGCAGGTCAAGTCGCCACCGGGTAGCCAGGCGAAGCCAGGTGAGATACAAATACGCCGAGCATCTGCCGTTCGCATCACCCCACATGAATCGGCCCCTTCCCCCGGAAGCCATCCTCCGGCCCAAGCCCCCCGCCCCCCCAGTCCCCACCCCCAGCGCTGTGCAGATATGCGCCGCAACACAACTCAATGTTACTACCTTCTGAACACGCACCCGTGTTGCTGACCTGAGTCTAGCTTTACAACCTCAGCGTACATCGTACCATCATACATGTTAGCTGAGCCTAGTTTGTATAGATGGCAGCCAGTGTACGAGCGGTGATAATTCGTCATGTCAGCAATGATATCCGCGGCTGTATGCTTGCTGCGCGCTCCCATGGTCATCAGTGAGTGTGTTGTTGTCACCATGCTGGTATTTGAACCTCATGTCATGCACGCGCGTCTGTATCATAGCCCCGCCATATCATCATATTCTCTCCAACGGTTCGATGATCCTCCTCATACATGCCACTCGCAAGATTTGGTTACACGAGTGTATAAAGCTGTCAGCATGCTGTTGCTGCGCTCTCGTAACACACTATTTTGGTGGTCCCATCCTGGTCTGCACGTTCAATGACTCCGTAGTCTCTGCATGTGTTGCCGCCTGGGGATAAAAACGAGCTTCCCATGCTGCGCTCTCCCTTCCCGCACCCCTTCTTCCCATATCGAGATGTTTAACCCCCTCTTCTTTCCTGCTACTCTTGTATCGTCATGTGTCCAACTCGCACTACCGAACTCGGGTAATTTCGAGTTCTGTGTTGAATATGGTAAATACTACTTGAAGGGGCCTGAACGCCTGGGCTCGGGGCTCCGAATCCGCGGGGTTTTGAGCTCCTGCCTAACAGTCGGGTGCGCTGCTTCTGCTTCACGGTCGTGGGGCGTTTCGATTATTCTCCTTCATGTTCGCGATGTTTGTTGCTCTTGTTCCAGAGTCGGGTCTCCACGCCGTCTTTCTCATTGCATTTTCAGAAGAGTTGCCAATTGTACGCTCTTCTGCCCACGCGTCTTGCTGCATGCTCGGCTCAGTGGAGGTGCTGGAGCACCACCGGGTTCCAGGAAACGATTCGGAGCTCTCGCGAGCTTTCGGGACTCCCCACGTCACATTTCCCGCGGCCCCAAGAGCGTTGCTAGTATTCCACACATCCATCATAGCCTAAGATGGTCCTGTGGTGACGTCGTAGGGCTCTCTTAGGGGGCCTCTTGGGCCGTCTTGGAGGCGCGGGGGCCGGCCCAGGAGGCTAAAGCAAATCTAAGCAGTTCCTGCTGTTGCATTATGTCGGGCGTGTCCCCCTACAGGGGGATTTTCGACGAAAAATTAAAAATGCCCCAAAAATACCCCAAGACGGTCAAAACATACTTAAAAAATAGTCCCCAGACTATTTTGGTACTATGTTTTGACTATTTTGGGGGTATTTTTTATTTTTCGTCGAAAATCCCCCTGTAGGGGGACAGGCCCGACCTAACTGTTGCATGATGGCCGCATCCGCTGCTGTTCGGGAGTACAAGCATCACGTACAACGGCCTAAGATGATTGCAAGAATGCCCCAGGCCTCCAAGCCCGTGGTAGGAGCTCAGGAGGCTTCCAAGACGGTCCCAATAGAGGCCCAAGAAGGAGAAACCGAAGTAACGTTCGGAGCACTTCACCTCATGATGAGCGCCGAAACCGCACACGGGCCACCAAGAAGCTCCCAAGAGGCTACCACCGGGCCCCCAAGAGGCCCCCGTCAAGCCCCCAACAGGCCGCAAAGAAGCCTCCAAGGCATCCCCAAAAGGGCTCCCAGGAAACCCGTGGAGGCATCCAACAGGCCTCTTACCCACGACCTTAACATCTCTAATATCTACAAATGTGTCCATAGAAGATACAAGAATGAGTGTGTAAGAGCATGTACATGAGTATTATATACAAATACATATCTGTACATCTATGTGTTTGACTGAACGCATACGTGATTACGCATACTATTAGACATGCATGTGCATATACACATGTATTTACATCGGTACAGTCATGTGTACAGACATGCGTGTACATATGTGCATATGCAGATGTGCATGTGTATCACTGCGTGGTTGCACAATTATATTGAAACGCTGGAGGGTCGTCAAGGGTGTAAGTATACAATGGAAGCAAACTGTAATTGTTATAGGTGCACGTGTGCACATGTCAGGATACATGAGTACCCATGTGTATCGATGGAATGTTCATTATTGGGTAGATGCCGATACCATCATGTGTATGTGTGTGGTCATGTGCATGCTTATGTGTGATAGATCTGAATGTCTGTAGATCTACGTGGTGTAGATCTACATGTCTATCTATATGTGTAAATATACATATATGTAACTGGTTCATCCGTAACGGAAATTGTGGTGGATGTATTATCACATGTACATGTGCATACGTGTACATGTACATGCACGCGTCTATACATGAATGTATATATATATATATATATCGATTTACAAGACTGTAGTGGCGCTTGGCGCCATGCACCTTGGTCCTTGAAGATTGGTATGCAGGCGGAAATGGCAGGAAGGTCAAGCGGACAATTTAGCGATAATTCCTTGCTGCCTTTTTCTGACATCGCCATTATAACAATGTTGTTCGTTATCCTTCCTCCATGCTTGCTGTTCCTCATTCTCGCCATACCCTGAGCATTCTCCTCATCCTCCTCAGCTCTGTTTGCGGAGGCTCCTCCTTGGAGAGCTTCTGGGGGCCTCACCAAAGTTCTCAGGCTTTCTTAAAGCCTTCTGGAGGCCTCCTGGGCGTGTTCTGGGGGCCTCTGGGGCTTCCTAAGGCCAACCTGCCTCTTACCGCGGTCTCCCTGAACGCACCGGTCACGATTTGGAATGCTTCGGAGGATGCCTTGGGGCCATCTTGGGCCGCCATGGGGCTCTCTTAGGGCCATTTTGGACCCCTGTTGAGCCGTTTTGGGGCTTCTTGGACTGTCTGGAAACCCTTTCGGATGGTTGTGGGGCGATTTTGGAGCCTCCCAGGCGACTTCGGACGCCCAGAAGACCGCTGTCTTGGAGCGTCGGGAAGCCGAAAAGAGGAGAACCCCAAATTCACCAAAAACCTTCATTAAATCAATGATTTGTCCCTCTTGGGGCCTTCTTGGGGGTGCTCTTGGAGACCTCTTGGTACGTTTTGGAGCGATCTTTCGGGGTATGACGGCTTCTTGGAGCGCTCTGGTGCTGTCTTGGGGTTCTCTGGGACGTCTCCGATGACCCCCTGTGC